AGGTGAATACCAACCATATCTATTATAATTTTCAGTCAGAGCATACCTCAAGATTTAAATGTTACATAAATTGCATAATTCAAGCTCTTACTCTTTCAATAATCTGAAACTTTTGTTCAAATATATGAAGGTGATGAAAAGAAATTTAACTACAGAAGAAAAAAATTAACAATTTAAAGTAGATTATGGTCTATCAGAGAATATACAAAATTAAGAGCAAAAACCAAATCCACAACTACCACACACATGCAGATATACAATACCTCTGTGCTGGTGGAAAGAATACATAAAATCAGCATGATTAAAATACCACTTTGGGAGCATAAAGACAATGATTTTCATTTCAGCCTTCTCAAATGCTTAAAATGAGCCTGGGATCTTTATTAAATACAAGTTGGACTCACTTGAAGAACCAAGTCCAAACTTGTTCAGGAATTAGCTTGTTCTTGAGGTGTGTTAACAAAAATAACAACAACAAAATATTGGCACGCAGCTGTTTGCATACCTTAGTTTACTTCCTTGTAACTCATAAAAGTAACCCAGCTCTCTGGGATACCTCAGCCAGGTGGGCACCATTAACTTTCTAGCTGATTCTCAGTTTCGTGAAAAAGCAACTGTCTGAGGCAAGAGAGCTTCAGCTCCCAAAAAGGACTGCAAGTCTGCTGCCACAGCAGACTTTCTAAGAGACTCCACATGGAGACTTCCAAACCTCTTTCATTCATGACCAATTTTCTCTGTTCCTTCTGTGTTCAAATAGCAAACCTGTACAGATGTAACAAAAGGAAGAGAAATAAGAAAAATAAAAACCTAGAGGAACATAAGAAATATGCAAGGAACTACATGGCAGCTGAATCTCTGAAGGTGCACAGGCCATTCATTAAAAGGCTTAAAGACTGGGGTACCGAACCTCCTGGGACCTCAACTTACCTACTTTACAAAAAGGGAATTAGATTTAATCCCAAAATGATTTCCATGAGCTTAATTTAGGGGTATTCAAATTCTGTAGGGGTAAATTATTAGGGATGGAGACAGGCAAAAATAACTTGATTCACGAAGAAGACAATGTATCAATGATTAGCTCTAAGAATATTTTTTGGAATTACTGCAGTCACCACTAAGTATATAGCTTCTTTAAAAGGAGACCTCGGGCCTCCCCGGTGGCGCAGCGGTTGTGCGCTGGGTTGCGAAGCTGCCCGCGGCCTCTGCGGCGCCGGTTCGATCCCCGGCTGCTCCCCGGCCACCGGAGGAGGGTCCCACATGGCGCGCAGACCTCTCCTGCCGCCCGCTGCTCCCCTCAGCAGTGTACTTCGGTCCTTCTGCCTGCTCTGCTCCCTGCTCTGGCTCTGGTGAATTCTCTCACCCTCCCGCGCTTCTGACTGTACCCAGTGCATGTATAAACAAAACAAACAAACAAATAAATAAATCATAAATAAAAATACATGCCTCTTTAAAAAAAAAATTAAAAAAAAAAATAAAAAAAAAAAAAGGAGACCTCATCTTGTTTTAGGAACAAAAAGTACACAGTAACTTTGATTGCTATTTTCAAACATACACCCCCCCGAACAGGAACTTTATTTGGAGATGCTAGTGCCAATATTGCCAAACCTTGTTCTGTCTGAATATGATTCCTTCAACGCACAGAAAGGAGGCAGGCATCAAAGCTGACTAACCATGACCTAGAGGAAGTGACTTAATACACTAGGAAATCAAATAGATCACAAAATATCTACCCCACCCCAGGGAGGGGAAAAAAGAGTCCTAAAAATAGATGACACCAAGAACATAAAATGGGTGAGAGAAAGCTCGTGGGTTTCTACTTTTTATCTTGGAACTGTATCTCACACATTATCAACTGTGTGAAATTTATGCTAGTGTTTATATTTTGATGAGACCAATTTTTTTTTAACACTTCCTCCCAATATTTACTTGTTTGATACTACTTTGCAAGCTATAAGTACCCCCTAGCTTGAAAACTGACAGAAAAGAGATCATATGACCACAAGGGAAACCAAAAAATGGCTCTAGTTTACTTTCTAAATATTTGGTATACAAACTAAAAGTGTAACTTCTGCTTGATAAACACCAACAACGTTTACAACTTACCTGCAGTATAATGCAAATCTCAGTATCCAATCAGAATAGATTCCCAGTTTTTATACATGTTTCTAAATTCAGTAAGAGTGGTTTTTGTTTCTGTTTTTTAAAATCACCGTTTCTATTTCACGTATTCTAGGAAGTCCTTAATTTTTGACAAAGGGGTTAAAATTCTTTACTAGGAGTCCTGGCAAAGGAAGGTTTGATGGTCTCAATGTACGTATTACATAGGGTCATGTCAGCATAAAAAGGAAATATGCAGGTGAAGGCATGTGGAACCATTTTAAAAAGATGTGCTAGATTGAAACAAACTCCTTTGTAAACATATTAAAATAATGGCTTTTTTATTCTTTAATATACACCTAGCTTCATAACATTTTAAACCCTCCACCCCAATAATTAGGATTAGGAACAACTAATATTTATGGGGCACTTCACAATTTTCAAAGCACTGTGGCATACATGGTCTCATTTGAGACTCACCGCTAAATAGGAAGGTGCTATTTTTAGGTCCCATTTTTACATGCAAGGAAGCTGACACTAAATGGCTGACTTGCCCAAGCTCACAAACGTGGTGATAGTTGAGTGAGGTATGATCATAGGTCTCCTGACTTTAAATGATCTGTTTTTGCTACTGCACCATGTTGCCTCAAATACAGACTAAATAGAAGCCCAAATCTTAGACCCTATCTAAGTCTCCCCCACCCACCCCCGCCTATCCCCACCCATCCTCAATCTGTTACAGTTAGCTCCAAAAGATCTTTGCTCCTTAAGAAAGTAAACTTTTCTTCATTTCTCTGGGAAACATTTATCTGGCCAAAATGTTAAATAAGGAGATCATACAAACACCATTTGACATATACTGGAAAATATCTTAGTCACCAGGGGTTTTGCATAGGCATGCCTATGTGCATTTTTCCAGGTAGTGGGTCAGATTCTCAGAGCACATGACCCTAAAGAGGTTAAGAACCCAAGAGAGGCAGTGAATGGTTAGATACCTTTGCAACAAGCTAAGTCCACAAAGTTCTGAATACAAAGACTTTCATCTATGCTTCATACTGTGTCCCACTTACCTTCTGCCTCCCCTGCTCCAGACCTTCTCCCAGGGCCAACATGGTCACTCATCATCTACAACTGTTTTTGAAATCATCTATAAACCTGGAGCAACTGATGAATATCAGTGACTTATAAAAAGCAAATTTCAATTAATTATCTGTTAAAATGTAATCCTTAACACACACTCATTTCTCTTGACTTAACATCCCAGAACGACTGTTTCTTTTTACCATAAGTATTCCAATTCCCCAAACGAAGTTTCATAAACCTAACTACTTTGAACTCCTTAAATGCCATTCTTCACTAAGAACCCTCTACATTACACAGAAGACAAGGTAGCATGCAAGGAATTCCCAATCTGTCAGGCAGTTCACTCAACTATTATACCAAAAGGATTCAGAAAATTTTTACTGGGGGGAGGGAATGGAGAAGAGTGGGAGAGAGAATGAATGCAGCCCTATTGTCTTATTGCTTGAAAACTACGAATTTGAATCACAACATATTCCTACTAACCACTCCACTTGAACAGCAGAAGTACCGTCTCTTTTCATCTTAAATAGAGCTTTTCAATCCAAATTTGTATAAACAAACTTTGTCCTTTAATCTTTCAACTCCTCGGCAGTTTTTCAAGGTCACTTTTGCAAGCAACGACAGAGGCCTACATCTAGCAACTTTGACTACTACACCACTCCAATTCAAAGAGTCCAAAAGCAAAGCCCTATGGATACTCTCAGGTAAATCCTTTTCCGGAGGGGAAGCAAGGGGAAGGAAAACCAACACCCTCCAAACTTCTCCTCTGATAGGGCCTGCTCCTTTTCCCTACCCAGAGACTGAGTGCTGCTGGCTCACTGCTCCACACTGAGTCGGCTGCAGAAATGTTCCAATGACCTTCATTCCATATTGCAAATAAAAAGAAAACAAAGAATTGATTTTTAAAATCAGGTGTATTATAGATCTTAGTACATAGGAAAGAAGATTTCACTATTCACAAGAAGTGGCCGGTTACTGATTAGCAACAACCTACGTTAGCTTCTTACCACTAAAGAGGAAAAAATATATCAAGGGCAAAAGACAGGGTGTCTGACTCTTAACTTTTCTACTCACAAACTGCAGGTACATTAGGATTTCAAATATTTCATACAGATAATGAAAAACATTTTGCTCACATCATTATAAAGAACCAAATCAAATCTGACAAAATGTGTGAAATCGGTGGAAAAGATATGCTTGTCACTGCCAATACAGCAGAGAAGAATGTTTCTAACCAGCATCCTAACCTAAAATGTGCATTTCAAAACGAAGATCATTAATAACTGCTACTTATTTGAATCTAGATGCAGACAGGCAAATCAAGAAAGTTACGGGAGAATTTCACATTGGTAAGTGGGCCTTCACCATTAGAACCTGCAAATCGTATTTCACACAAATTCAACAGCAATAGTGTTGCTTCTATCACTGAAAACACAGATGTCAACAAAGTGCATGAAAATAGAAAAAGTCTTACAACAACTCAGCTTATTCTGTAGGAAAGCTTCAGTGCACTTGAACAAAGGAAAATTATTTGGAAAACAGTTAAGTTTACCCAATGCAAAGAGAAAGTGCTTTGCTTCTGTGTGCCCCTGAAAAACGATCAGTCTTTTCTTCATGTACCTGATCTTGTCCATATTCAACCAGGAAAAGATACCCTAGTTGAAGGGCATGCAAAATCTAAACAGAGCAAGGTATTCTAGGTGCACCAAAAGGTATGCATGGAATGTAAAGTGGCCATTTTCTGAAACAGTGCAACTTGCCTACACTCTGAAGCTAAACAGTTTCTACTAGTTTAACACAAAACAAAGAATTAAACTTACCGGGAACTGCATTAATTTTACATGTAGTTATTTATATCTCCTCGGACAGGGAGAATTTAAGTCACTCCTATCCCTCCCCCCCAAAAAAGGACGGAGGAAACAAAAGGCAGCAGGAGATGCAGAAACCTGAGTCTGGAATGTCCACTCCAGTGAAAACCCGAACAGCTGTTCCCCCCACCCCCCAGCAAACTATTCGCCATTTTTCTTTGTCTTTCAGCTGACCCCTGCCTCAGTGAAAAACTCCGAAGCTCCAGTGAAGCCCTGCAGCCTCCTTCCACTTTAACAGTCAAAGGCATTCAATCTAGCATGCTATTTGACACCAAACCTTGCCTCCAGAGTGGTCCCATTGGCTAAGCTGCTTTATTGGCTAAGAACACAAAGCCATGATTGGCTCTTCACATCATCAGTTACACCTCCTTTGTACACTTCCTGTTTTAAAGTTACCTTGAGAAGCAGAACAGGGGTCAGATCGACTTCAAACTATGGGGAACTTAGGTTTGGAAATGCTTGGCAAATGCACACAGCAGATACACTAGAGCCTTGTGCACTTTTAAAACAGAGGGTACTACAAATTTAGAACTGGTCTTAAAATCACTAGAAAGGGTTGTTACAGTTCCCACCCAAAGCATTTCTTATTGGCTGTCAGAGAACCATTTAAAAAATTTAAGGTAATTTAACTGCTTCTGATTGGCCATCAAAGATGTCTGTAAGATATTGCTACAGTATCCTATGGCAGTAAACCAGAGAAGTATCATGACAAGGTCGGAAAGTTGTGACTTAACTATCTTCAGTTTTCTGCTGCGCATTAACAGAAGCAAATGAAAACTGGGTGGGCTAACCTAAATGGTGCCAATGAAAATGCAGTTTCTTTCATCGTATGATACCAACGGCCATGAAATAGTTTGCAGGATACCTATAAAAGCATCTGTCATTACACACGGGTAATTTCAAAAGCACAGTATACTAAGCCAAATCATTTTATTTTGAAACACAATCTAAACAGGAAATTCTGGGATAATGTATGAAGTTATAGACAGGGACAGCATTATTTCCAAAAAATCAACCCAGGAAGCCCAAGAGGGAAATATGACAAATATGTGAAAACTTTGCAAAGATGATAAAATCAGTGTCTGTTACTGTTTAAAAGCACATTATAGTCTGATAACTAATTTATTTAGTTGCTGACTAGCTTTTAATATTACAGAGTTTTGACATAGAGGCTAACTTTTCTGTCACATTTTCAAGGTCAAGCGTAGGGCTGATCACTGGAGGAATATTTTGAGTAGTATAGTTATCGATGAAATTCCAGAGTAGTGAAGTTAACCTTGATGATCAAAGATCGGCTTATGGATTTGGGACCCAACTGTTTAGGTTTGAAAAAGGGAAATGGTGGCAGTCAGTTAACACGTCTTCTTTCTTTTCTTACAAAATGCTGACATAAAAACATCTATTACCTGAGCCTTTAACAATCTCCTTAGATCTGCTTCCTCCCATCCAAGCTAAGTACTCTAGGACTAACACTGATATGCGAGGTAGATGAGATCCTTTCTAGAAATACTTGGGTTGATCTTACATGATCTCACATTCAAATGTCTGGTAGAGTCCTTGAAGCAAGGCAAACTGTCCAATCATTTTGTCATTCTAACTTCTCTACATGTTATTCCGAACAGTTCCCATACTGAAATAGAGTAATTTCTGATCAACAATTAGTATTATGTTCTGAGCAGGGTATATTACAGATTTTATCCCTCTAATCCTCACTTTCCCTTTTTGCATGTGAGAAAGAATGAGGTTCAGAGAAATTAAACCACCAGCCCTAGCAATACATTTAGAATGCAAACTCAGGTCCTCCCTAGGAGGGTATTTTTTCCACTGCATCACACAGCTTACCAAGACATGAAGCACCTCAGGGCACATGCAAGGAAATTCTTAGATGTAACATATATTTACACATAGCATATATCATTAACGAAACTTCATTAATTTAAAATTGAAATTCTGACTGCTGAACTTGTACTGTTAGAGAGCCAGCTAAGTATGTTACAAAAGAGCACCCTATAAGTTGATACAAATTCTATTATTAGGAACATTTAACCAGTAGCAAATCACATTTAATTTCTAAGGACTTGAAATAACTAGCAATTAAATAATTAAAAACCATATACGTTAAGACAGGGGTGGTACAGAAAGTTCATAATGACATCTAAGTAAGAGTTTATTTAATGCTAACAGGATTCATCATTATGAGGCACCTTCTGAAGCTACACAGACTTGCAGGTATTATAGTTATTTTCTCAAAAACTTATGATCACAAATTCTAAATCACTACCAGCCTAGAAAGTAGAAGAGAGGCAGAAGGTCAGTTCTATGCCTTATCCACATATGGCTCTCTTAAGACTTGTGGGGCTTTAAGCCCCACAATGCTGGGTGTCAAGTCAGCTGCAAGGAAGCAAAGAAGCTATTGATAATTTGAGGGATGAAAGCAAAGGAACAGGGAGAACATATTCACATTACAACTATTAGTGTCACCATGGCAAAACAACTAAACACTTGGGAGGTGGGCAGAGCTAATTTCAAATTCTGACTCATCTACTTACTAATGTTATGACACTGGACTAACCCTGAGCTTCAGCTTCTTCACTTGCAATAGATATCACCATCTATCAGTGTATCACAGAGCCACTGTAAGGAATAAGTGAACTGACATATGTAAAATATATTGAATTGTGTCTGAAAGGAGCAATGAAACCATGAAAAGTGCTAGAAGTCATCCAATTCAAATGCTTTGTTTTATGTAGGGGCTAAGGTTCAGAGAGGCCTACTCCTTAAGGCACTAAAGCTACTCTGAGCTAACGTCTCTCTTCTATCTCCATTATACCCTGACCCTGCTACCCAGCGGAGAGCAATTCCTGAGCCATACCACTCCAGTGGGAGGACTACCAGCTCCTACTAAAAGTCTTCCTGTTTCAATGATGAAAATGTATGCATTTTACCACCAGTCCTGGCCAAGATCTGGTTATTATTCCAAAAGCCTACCATTTGACTTAGCTTTTGATGTACCAACTTAAACCAGTCATGTCCCTTTGATACTCTATGGTCTTTGACATAATTTTTGTTAGTTCTTGGCAGGATGCAAGAAAAACACTTCAACCCTTATTTCACCTTAGTAGAACTCAAGCGACTAGTGGGAAGAGAACTATTTCCACTTGGTAGCTTAACCTATTCACTTCCTATAGCTTTCCCTCCTCTAGTCTGTCATCACTGTGGACTAAGAGTCTCATGAGATCTCTAGGATTCCAACTCACATTCTTCCCTGGTCCTAGGTCTCAGAAGCCCTTTACACCAGTCAATTGCATCCTCTTGTACTAAGAAACACCCAGATCACTACAAGACAAAACCAGAGCTTCTGGTTACATGACTCAAGCATTAATGCTCTCAAGAAGGAATGCTGGGAACTGATGCTCTTAAATAGAACACTGATTTCGAATCAAAGCTACTGTCTAGCTGTAAGGCCTTCGCTCTGTTATTTAACTATCTCTGAGCTCACTTCTTCATATGTAAAGCGGGAAAAAAAATAACTAACAGCAGTGTTGAGGCTTAAATGAGATAAGTGAAATCACTCAGAAGTAATACCTGACATGTGGCAGGTGCTCAATGAATATCTAAATATACACTTGACTACAGCACTTACTGCATATTACACCTTTTATTGCATATTATACTTTTTACGGCAGCTATTACCAAGGAAGGGCTTCTTGAAGGCAGGAACTATGTCTTATTTCCACATACCATCCCAGTGCTCAATACAGAGATAGAAATCAAATCCAAACTTAGTCATAGTGTCAATGAAATAACAAGAAGAAGCAGGGGTTGAACAAAACATGTTCCATCTACTGGGGCAATTACCACTCAGTTCCAACTGCCAGGGCCATGCAGAAATGCTGGTCCATGCAGTTAAGAGTTGCAGATCAATAAAAGCAGCAAATACCAGATCCTGGACACAAAAAGATGATGCTGAAACAGCTTTTGATCTGGCATCCTAAGGAATATCTAAAGGACCACAGTTCTGTTAGAAGTTGGCCTCAACCTCCATAATCCCTGCCAAGGACAGGGTCTTGCTCAGTACCCTGTATTACCTGATTTTAGAGGTTACACTGTACCCCGCAAAGCAGAAAGAGCAGTTAAAAGAAAACAAAACAAAACACAAGCGGACACTTAGAACTGAACATCTTATTGATGGTGTCCTTAACTGACCCCTTTAGACTTATTAAATCTGGGGGGTGTGGGGAAAGTGTCCCAGGAAATAAGCTGAGATGGATGTATACAGCAGTCTTGTACTGATGTTGCTCTAAGTGGGGAGGGTGGGGTTTTTGTTTATTTTTATAGAACATCTTTAACCACTCAGACTCAAATACTATTTGTATTTTGCATTATATATTTTAAAACATTTTCCTATATAAAGAAATACAAGGCTGAGTTAGTCCCTGTGATATTAAATACTATACAAACTGTTTTGTAATCCTTTTCACTTAAATACTGTGAATAATTTTCTGTATCAAATAATCATTTATAATAACAATTATATTCTATTGAATGGATGTACCATAACTTTTAACCAGTTTCATACCAAAGATTCATTTCAATGTTTTCAATTTTAAAATAGTGTAAATAGCATAGCAGAGAACATCCAATATGCCCATTTCTTATACTACTAACCTCATGATCTCTTCCAAAACAATTGTAGTGACTTCAAAAATATTATTTTGTCTGGTTCTTTAAAAAACAACAACAGCTGGGGCCTCCCCGGTGGCGCAGCGGTTGAGCGCTGGGTTGCGAAGCTACCCGCGGCCTCTGCAGCGCAGGTTCGATCCCCGGCTGCTCCCCGGCCACGGGAGGAGGGTCCCACATGGTGTGTAGACCTCTCCTGCCGCCCGCTGCTCCCCTCAGCAGTGTACTTCGGTCCTTCTGCCTGCTCTGCTCCCTGCTCTGGCTCTGGTGAATTCTCTCACCCTCCTGCGCTTCTGACTGTACCCAGTGCATGTATAAACCAAACAAACAAACAAATAATAAATAAGACATGCCTCTAGAAAATTAAAAAAAAAAAAAAAACAGCTGGAAGCTGAAGTGTTTCAATGTTAAATCTTTTCATTTCAATTTTGGTTCATTTTTTTAAAATGATCGGCAGATCAAAGAAAACTGCCAAATTATAATTCTTACTCATCTCTTTCACCTGACTTGGCTCTAAACTATTAGCTAGCTATTTCCCAAATCAAATCCACTGTCAAGGTTAAAAAAAAAAGTTGTCAACAACATATTTCGAAAGAATCGGACACTTCTGAAGAAAATCCCCAAAGAGGTCCCAGAAACATTTTGAGCAATAAATTTATTAGCATAAAGAACACTATGCTGGTGTTTAGTAAATGGATACTCAATAAAATTAATGGATAAAATAAACGAATAAATGAAATCATAAGTGGATCATAAACTCATTTTTTAAAAATAAGTTAGATCCTCCAAAGCATAAATTAAGACCAGTGGATGG